GTGGACAATGAGTTAGGAACAGAATTGTACTGGAAGAAGAGAGGTGAAGGGAAGTGGCCAACTGGGGGAAAAATATTTTTATCAAACATCTCCAAGGGCATGATAAACTAACAGAAACATTTAAAGCCAAAACCCATCCCCTCGATAGATAAGTGGTAAAGGGTATGAATAGTTCTCAAAAGAAGACTCTCAAACCACATGAAAAAATTCTTCAAAACAACTAATAAGAGAGATGCAAATCAAAACTCTATAAGTATCACCTCATACCAGTAAATTGGAAAAAACAAGCTGGGAATAATGATGCCAAGGTTGTAGAAAGATGGGTACCCTGATGCACTACTGGTATAGGTGTGAATTATTCCAACTATTTTGCAAAGCAATCTGGAGTTACACTGAGAGATCGAATAAAACATCCATGTGTACCCATTGATCCAGAGACTCTACTTCTAGGCTCAAAAAAGGTAAATGACCAAAAAAAAAAAGGCCCACATACATCAAAATATTTAGCAAAGAACTAGAAACAAAACAAATGTCCAATGATGGTAAAACAAATTATAATACATAAATATAATGGAATATGAGAAATGAGAACTTCTTTGAACTATAAGCAAAAATATCAGAAAAACAAAAAATATTATGACTATAACAATGTAAACAGAAAAAAATATCAAAACTTAATATCATGAAATTAAAGGTGGGGGAACTCTGAATGTGAACAATAGCAACATGAGTCTTTTTTAATGTGCTGTTTAGTTTTTGTGAACTGGGTTTTTTTTCTTCCATTTTTCTCCTTCCAAAACATGGCTCTCAGAGAGTTGGGAAATGTGATATAAAAAAAGAAAAGATATTAATGGGGCAGCTAGGTGGTACAATGAACAGAGCACTGGCTCTAGAGTCTAGAAGACCTGATTTCATATCCAGCCACAGACACATGATTCTCACTAGCAGTGTGACCCTGGGCAAGTCATTTAACCCCGATTGCCTAGCCAAAAAAAAAAAAAGATATTAATCCTTTTTTTTTTTTTTTTTTTTTTTAGAAAAAGGCTACACCAACAGAAAACCAGCTCTGGCATGTCCATTCGGATAGAAAAGTTTTGACCATGAACCAAGGAGGGCCCATATGTCTACTATCCAAAGGGTAATCTGGTTACGTTTGCTGAACATCACCAGAATACTGGCCACCAAGTGACTAATTTCCTTAACAACATTAACTCACAAAGACAGTTTATCTAAGGTACAAAGAAGAGTTACAGTTCATATCATGGAAAGAATATCAA